TAATTAGCTTGGAGGAGTAACTAGTAGAAACCAATTCATTACTTGCCTCATGGCAGGACTTAGAAAGGTACCTCATAGACTATCAATTATGAGAAGCTCCAGGAAGTCATCCAAGATAAAAATGAAAATGCTCAGCATTTTTAGATCACCTGACCAAGGCTTTATTACAATATACTGATCTGGACCCTGAGACTCCAGATGGGAGACAATTACTAATGACCTACTTTTTCTCCCAGAGTTTCCCCAATATTAAGGCCAAACTCAGGTGCCCTGAGAGGGGGCCCCCTAACTCTCCAAGCTGAGGTTCTGGGAGTTGCCTTTAACGGGAGAGACTAGAAGGTAATCTGCTCAAGCCATCCATCTGGCTTCAGCATCTATCCCTGGTTCCACTGGCCCATGGAAGGGTCCCTCGGGACCACTAGGACCCTGTTTTAAATGTGGTCAGATTGTTCACTGGTCTCATACATGTCCTAAGCCTCGCAAGCCTCTGGGCCCTTGTCCTAAATGCCATTAGAAGGGACACTGTGCTGATGAATGTCCCTGAACCCATAGCAGCCCCGGGCCATCCCCCTTCTGGTTCCCCTTTCCAACACTTAGGACTGGCTGCAGAGGACTGACAAGGCCCAGGTCCCCATCACCTGACTACTATCATCACTCTGTGGGAATCCAGGGTAACTCTGTATTTCAGGTAGGCCTGTCTCTTCCTCCTAGGCACTGGGGCTACATATTCAGTCCTCAAGGAGGCCTACCACTCATTTTATGACCTCTATTGTTGGGGTAGAGGGCAAACCTTACCAGCCCTTGCAAATATCTAGCCTTGTTTGTGCCTTTGGCTCTCCAGTTTTCACCCACTCCTTTTTGGTCATTCCACAGTGCCCTATTCCCCTTATGGGAAGGGACATTCTCACAAAGTTGGGGGCTACACTTTCCTTCTCCCCAGAAGGGCCTTATACCATGAACCCATTCACATTCATCTCAAAAACCCCCTCCATTTTATAAGGGCTTACATTCCTTACCCCCCCTTCCGCCCCCGCTGTCCCCTTTTATCTCTACACATTTTCCTGGTGGCAGATCCCAGTCTTACTTTCCATATGTGCTCACCTTTAAATCCTGCTACTCTCCTCCCAGCTCCTCAGGACTCTTCCACCTCTTCTCCTCTTCCCCATTCATGCATTGAAACTTTGGAGAAATTTCTCCCATATCCCTTCCACATACAGGAAGCCCCCTTGGAAAGGGGTAATGGGAAGGCAACATACACATGGTTCACAGATAGTGCCTCCTTCCTTCAGGAGGGAGTTCATCAGGCAGTGCAAGCTATAGTCTCTCTAACCTCTGTTGTGGAAGCGGCTCCTCTCCCCAATAATACATCTAATCAACAAGCTGAACTCGTTGCCCTCATCAGAGCCTTCACTTTGGCAAAGGGAGGCTCCCTCAATGTCTACACTGACTCTAAATACTCTTTCCACATACTTCTCTCCCACTCTGCTATTTGGAAGGAGCGTGGATTCCTCACCACCAAGAGAACTCAATTACTAATGTCCCTTTTATCTTTGATCTCCTTCAGGCCTCAATGCTTCCCACTGCCATTGGAACTGAAGGATAGCAGCTAAGTAACCCCCTTCTCCAGTGGGCATTTCCTTTCCTGACCTCTCTCCTTGTCATAGACCTTTTGCTAATGCTCGCCCCCTGTGTCATTAGATTTATTCAAGACCAGATTCAAAGGATCTCTAGCCAAACTGAGAACCAGCTTCTATTACAGGACTTTTAACCCCTCACCAAAATTGGGCCATCCAGAGTCAGCATTGCCCAACACCTCCTGACCATCACCATTGCCCCTAACAAGGGTCCAGATGCCACTCCTTCCAGGGAGAAAGAAGCTATAGAAGATTAATCTACGCCCCTGTCCCTTAAGGAGCCCAATAACAACAAAAAGGGGAGAATGTAAGGTCCATGCTTAGCATCTGGATGGCCATCTTAAGAGAAAGTTTCACTTTCCCACCCATGGGCCTTTCTGAGAAAGGCTCACCACTCCCTCATACCAACCCCATCCTTAACCACCTGCATTAGGATCCGCCTGGCTCTAATCCCTGAGCCTGCCCCATCTGCCTGGTCTCTTTTATTTCCTGCTCCCCTGTCTCCTGGTTCCTCGCTTTCTTTTCCATGGTAGAGTGCTTGCCTAGTCGGTGGGAGGCCTTGGGTTCAATAGCTACTAATGAAAAAAAAAAATGGATGAGGGTATTAAACTCATTTAGTGTCTATTTTTCCATTAGATTTAATTTAAAAATGTCAGTATTACAAAATGTCAGAAATCACACTGCAACTAGTTTAAACTTATGAAAAACTGTAGAGTCAACTGAACATGTCTGAGGAGAGAAAATGTTTTTTTCCAAAAATTCTTTAATGGACATAAAAATTTTATAAAAATTCAAGACCACTTCTGTATCTGGCCTGGTCTCCTTAATAATTCTCTTATCTTACGCCTTTCTACCCTCAACCTTGCTCAAGGCATTCCAGCCACAATGACTCCTCGCTTGTTCCTCTAACAAGCTAAGAATCACTGTTTGCCTCAGGCCTTTACACTTGCTACCTGGTCCCCTACTTGGAACACATTTTCTGCAAGACAGAGTCCTTCACCTAATCAACAGAGACATTCCTCAATCATCTATCCCTTTCACTTTTATTTTTTCCTTCATAGCATTTACTACTCCCTCATTGCCCATCTTTGTAAACTCCTTTTAAGTCAGGGAGCTCCTTTGTTTTGTTCTTGCTGTAATCTCAGCTAAGTCTGACACAAAACAAGGTTAACACTTTTTTTTTTTTTTTTTTGAGAGGGAGGGGGGGAGGGAGGGAGGGAGAGGGAGAGAAATTTTTATTTATTTTTTAGTTTTCGGGGGACACAACATCTTTGTTTGTATGTGGTGCTGAGGATCGAACCTGGGCCACACGCATGCCAGGTGAGCGGGCTACCGCTTGAGCCACATCCCCAGCCCAACACTTGTTTTTGAATGAGTAAAAAATGTTCTTCTCTTTTTTTAGCCATAGGGCAGGCTGGCCTTTAACTTATCCTTCTACTTCTACTTCCGAAGTAGCTAGGATTACAGACCCATGCCACCACGGACAGTTTCATATGGTTTATTTTTTGGTACTCCAGAGTCCTTTAACCACTGAGCCACAGCCTCCGTTTTTTTTTTTTTTTAATTTTATTTATTTATTTTTTAATAGTTGTAAATGGACATCATGCCTTTATTTATTTTTTTATGTGGTGCTGAGTATCGAACCCAGTGCCTCACACATGCTAGGCAAGTGCTCTGCCACTGAGCTATAGCTCCAGCCCCTCGGTTTTATTTTTTATTTTGAGACAGGGTCTCCTTAAGCTGCTTAAGGTCCCCTAAATTGCTAAGGCTGGTCTCTCAACTTTCAATCTTCCTGCCTCAGCCTCCTGAGTCTGCGAATTACAGACTCAGTATTTCAGGCATGGGTCACCATTTATGTGGTTTATTTTAAAGACTTACATCAATATACAGGTAAGTTTCTTGGGAATATTGTCAAAAAACTAAGAATTTATGAGCCTAATACTAAAGCAGCCATTATAATACATAAACCCATCTAAATACTTAAAAAATTTGTAGATGGACACTATAAGGTCCTTGCTTAGCATCTGGATGGCCATCTTAAGTGACAGCCCGCCATTTTAAGGAAAAAGTTTCACTCTCCCACTCAAGGTCTCTCCCTCATACCAACCCAACCCATAGATTCCTGAGCCTGTCCCATAAGTCCCAGAGCTCAAGCCTGTTCTGCCTCTCTCTCCTATAGAGAGATGGCCTTTATTTGTCAGGTCTCACAAATAAACTCTGGTGTGTATCTCTGCTTTGTTTTGGGCTTTCATTTCTCGCTTAACTGTCTCTCATTCCTCCCTTTGCCTTCAGACTCAATACTTTTATTTATTTATTTATTTTATGTGGTGCTGAGGGTCGGATCCAGTGCCTCCAGGCGCTCTATTACTGAGCCGTTACAACCCCAGCCCCCAAACCCCCAAATACTTTTTCCAAATAAAAAGACAACTCTTTCCGAAAGCTTGTATTATCTATATTCTTAGGGCGCTGCCACCCTACTAATCCCGGGACTCGAAGAGGGACTCCCAGGACGTAATAATATTGGGTAGAGCGGTGACACCCCACACTGTCACACATCAGAATCTGCTTAAGTGACTTTTCAGCATCCATCAGCTCTCTCTCCCACTTCCTGATTCAGGTCTGGGGTGTGGCCGTGGCATCTCGGCTTTAAAAAGCTCCTCAGTTGACTGCTTCGTAGCAACGTTTGAGATGCACCTTAAGAAGCTATAAAGAGCCTAAGGAGTTGCTTCCTTCGTGGGTCTTTTCAGGCTATTCTGGTGACCACTATATATATATATCCATATATTTAAAAAAAGCCCGCTTTACCGCTCCCCTGGGTCACAACCTCTCAATTGAACAGGCGTCAAAGCACCGCAGAGACCCAGGAGGTGGCCACAGCGGAGCCAAGAGGACCCGGCGTCCGACCGGCGTCCGACTGAGCCGCAGGTGAAGCTTCCCCGGAGACGCGCCCGTCGCGAGGGATGGTGCCGCCTGGGAGACATTCGTTCGGGAAGGAATCCGGCCCAGACTCCAACCCTTCCACCCTTCTCCCCATCGCACCACCCCTGCGTCCGAGCTCATAACCACCTCCAGGCAAAGGCCATCCAGTGCCAATGGCCTCTAGCTTTAAAAGCTCCTTCGGAGGTAAAAGGCCGTCGCGCTGACGCAACGTACCGGCCCCTGAAGGCCGAACAGGAGTCGAGGACGGCCCCGCGCCCGCGCACCGAATTCCCGCCTCCCTCCGGAGGACGTCCGTGCGTACGTGCGCGCGCCGCGTCCTCTCTCCCTTAACCGCGCGACGCGAGGGCGGGGGCACCCCGTGCGCGCACGCTCTCGTGGGTTCGCTCGCTTGCTCGCTCTCGGCGGCCGCTCTCGCTGCGGCTGCGGCTGGGGCTGGGGGCGGCGGCGGCGACGCGGGCGGCGGGCGGCGCGGGGCGGTCCGGCGGGTTCAAAGAGGAAAACATGGCGGAAAACAAAGGCGGCGGCGAGGCTGAGAGCGGCGGCGGGGGCAACGGCAGCGCGCCGGTAACTGCCGGGACTGCCGGGCCCGCGGCGCAGGAGGCGGAGCCGCCTCTCGCCGCGGTGCTGGTGGAGGAGGAGGAGGAGGAAGGCAGCAGGGCTGGCGCGGAGGGCGGCGCGGCCGGGCCCGACGACGGGGGGGTGGCCGCGGCCTCCTCGGGATCGGCCCCTGCCGCCTCTGCCCCGGCGGCCTCAGTGGGCCCTGGAGTGCCCGGGGGAGCCGTATCAACGCCGGCCCCAGCTCCAGCGTCGGCTCCCGCTCCGGGTCCCTCGTCCGGGCCGCCGCTTGGGCCGCCAGCCTCGCTCCTGGACACCTGCGCGGTGTGTCAGCAGAGCTTGCAGAGCCGGCGTGAGGCGGAGCCCAAGCTGCTGCCCTGCCTTCACTCCTTCTGCCTGCGCTGCCTGCCGGAGCCGGAGCGCCAGCTCAGCGTGCCCATTCCGGGGGGCAGCAACGGCGACATCCAGCAAGGTAAGCTGGAGGCCCTGCCCTACGTCGGGCCGCAGGGGATTTGTAGAGCCCAGGAGGATCTGGGAACCAGGTGCTAGGGACCGAGGCTGCGCGGACCGGCGCGGTCCTGTGGCGGGGGTGGGGTAGGGGAGTCTAAGACGCTAAAGACCTGGCCCCTGGGACAGTTCCAGAGCGGCTGGACCTCCAGAGATATGGGGAGAGTGAAGGGAGGGGTGCCGGTTGCGAGACACTGGGGGAAGGGACTCTGGCTGCGAGGGAGGTTTGAGGTGCGGATACTAGTCGAGCCAGGTTCTGCAGCGTGTGGACCCTGACCGGTAGAAAAGAGGGGTTTGTGAGACCCGTTGTGAGTAGGGTTTTTTGGGGAAAGGCCCGTACCTGGAGAAGGGTTGCTGAAAGAGTGGGTAGGAGATAACGGCAGTGAGGATGGATTGCTCTTCAGGGAGGGAAATGGACCTGTTCTTGGTTAGGAGAAAGAACTACAGCTTAAATGGAGGTAGGTGAAAGACATTTGGAAGCTTGGGGCCAAAAGAAGGCTCATGTTAGAAAATAATTTTAAGATGACATTGGGAAGGAGAAACTCGGGAAGTGGTAATAGCTGTGAAGGGCCTTCGTGATTAGGGAAAATCCTAAGATTTGAGGATGAAGGAGAAATGAAGTTGGAAGGGACATAGGAGTTAGGAGTGTTGGGCATGCATTTGCTTCATTTATTGTACGTTAATGAGCTTGTAGTTAGGGCATTTTGCTAGGAATGAATAAAATACCCAACGAAAATGTCATTCACACTCTAGATAGAAAACGAATATATATCGTGCAATAGTGGAGGCTGGTATTTGGTACCATGGTTGGTGACACAGTGCAAACTTTGCAATAAAGGAAATCCTTGAGACGGCTTCTTGAAGGGTGACTACATCACCAGGTAGGAGGATATTCAGGGCAAGAGCCCCTTTTTATGTTTCTAGAATTAAAGGATGTGTAGTGTGATTGGAGGAAGTTAGATTGGATTAATGGGTGGAATATATGAGGGTTCCACAGTCCCTTTTCTGTACTCTTAGGTCTAGGTGTGTTTTGGACTTCAGAATATAGTATTTTGGAATTTACCTTTTTCTAGTAAGATCTCTTATGTAGTATGCTAGTGGGATCTGTTTTAACTTTTTATTATCAACATGTTTACATTTCTGCATTAAAATATCATGTTGTTGAGATAGACAGTAGCCTCCAGAGATTCAGGTTGGTTTTGTTGCAAGTTTATGAAAAAGCTAAAATTTCAAAACTTTATTTTGGTATCGAGGATTGAACCTACTGATTCTTAACAACTGAGCCACATCCCCAGCTAAGTTGCTGAGGCTGGCTTTGAACTTGCCATCTTCTTGCCTTAGCCTCCTGAGCTGGAGGGGTGTGCACTATCATGCCTGGCTAAAATTTCAGAACTTTTAAATTTTGATTATGGACCTGTTTTAAAGGGTTGGAATTTATCCTCTATTCTGTTTGATAGAGGGCCTTCCTGAAGGCTTTTATATCAAGAGTTTAAAAGAATCAGATTTGTGATTCAGAAAGATCACTTGAAGCACTTGAGAAATGAAGGCAGGTGAGGCTGGAAGCAGGGAGACCAGTTGGAATCTCAGAAGTAATCTAGGTGAGAAATTATCATTTGAATGGGTAGTTTAGGACTGAAAATGAGGTGTTACACAAGGACGCATTTTTGTATGGGGGAATGGTAGGCACTTTGTGAAACACTGAGTTTGCATGTCTCCTTTGCCACTTTTTACTTACTGTATGGATAGATTAATTATTCTTAGCCTCAATTTTCTCATTTGTGAAATAGGGACAAAACTATACATACTTAATAGAGATGTTGAGAGAATGAAGTAAAAAAAATGTATAGTGACTAAGTACATGGTAGTTACCAATGAAATGGCAACTAGTTTATTACTGATAACTGACTAAGTGGAGGTGGGCATTGAGATTGATGTGAAGGGGACACATATTGGATGAATTTCAGGTTTCTTGTTTGGTGGGTGGTAGCTCTGTTAATGTAAATAAAGAATTCAGGCATAAGACTGGAAGATGTAGAGTGCTTGAGATGTACAGTGGTAGAGTGTTTGCCTAGCATGTGTGAGGCCCTGGGTTCAATCCTCAGCACTCTTAAAAAAAGAAAACCAAAAAACCCCAAACAAACAAAAAACAGGCACAAAAGCAGGTGTGTGTGGTGGAGGGAGGATATAATGATGAGTTCTGTCAGATATGGTTTTGAACTATTGGGACATGCAGGGAAGAATGTTAATAAGAATAACAGGGCTGGGCTGTAGGTCAGTGGTAGAGTGCCTGCCTTGCACGTGTGAGGCAGTGGGTTCAGTCCTCAGCACCACATAAAAATGAATAAATATATTGTGTCCATCTACAACTAAAAACATTTAAAAAAAAAAGAATAAGGTTTTAGTGGATGGAGAAGATGTATCAAGGATAGCTGCTTATGGCCCCATGAGCATGATAAGACACATGGGATTCAATGTTCTTATGAAAACCTGGATTAGGTGAGAGATTTAGAGGGAACCCAACATGCAAATTATGTTTGTGATTTAGGGACTGAGGCTATAGAGTTGACTCTGAAATTTATGCAGGAGAGAGAAGAATAATCTGTAAATTCCCTCTTCAATTCTCTATCATTTGTTTTTGAACTAGAATAAATAAGTGGAAGCAAGTTGATACTGTCAATCTTAAGTAATTGCTTTCTAAACAACATCTAAAACAAATTGAATGTGGGAATCTACCTTGTTTTTAGGTAGAGCATATAAAAAATACCTTTTTGGTAGTAACTCATGTACCTTTTGCTCCTGAAAAATGAGAACAGGCAATGCTAATAAGGACACTGAATTTAGAGGTAGGGAATATATTTTTGCCACTTGATTAGAGGTAGTTTATGCTTTTTCTGTTATAGTTTCTTTATCTCTATAATGTCATTCTTTAACATTCACTAAGTTGAATTTTGAGTCTGAAATTGCTTTATAACTGAAATGCTTTAAAAATGCAAGGTATTATTAAACAACATGTGATTTCATCTTTTATATTCTGGAGAGCCATAGCTGGTAGTTCAAATCGCCATCTTTCCTAAGTGGTTCTCAAACAATCACAAGTATACTACTCTTTCTCTCCTAACTGATCTTTTTTTCTAAATCTTTTGATAAACTTATTCTCACGGTTTTACTGTCTCTCTAGGTTGATAGTTCTCAAAGTGTGGTGTCTAGACCATCATCATCATTATCAGCAGCAGCAGCATCTGTTATGAATGCAAATTCTTGGGCCTCATGCCAGACCTTCTGATTGGCAGTCTGTTTTAACAAGTCCTGTAGGTGATTCTGATGCACGCCTGAATTTGAGAACCACTGTTCTTGAACGAAGAGCTTCTCACATCAAATGTGTCCTTAGAAAGGCTTTCTTTTGCCTGGTGGTGGGGTGGGGTGAGGATCAAACCCAGGGCCTTGTGCATGCAAGGCAAGCACTCTACCACCTAAGCTATATCCCTAGCCTTAGAAAGGATTTTTTTCTTGACTATTCATTTTAAGGTAGTTTTCCAGGTGACTCTGTGACATATTTTATCTTAACACAGCTAAAATAAAAATGTTAGTTCTTGTCTCTTTTTCTAAAAGAATATTGTAGAATGTACAATCAATAAATAACTTTGGATAAACAAGACTCACCTGAAGAGCTTATTAAAATGCTGATTTGAGAAATTCTTCAGTGATTCTGATTCAGTTGGATTGACTTTGCATCATCACTGTTCTTTTTTTTCTTTAGTGGGGTGGGGGTGGGGTGAAAACAAGCCTTACACATGCTAACATCTCTATCCTTTTTGAATTTTACTTTGACTCAAGATCTTGCTAAGTTACCCAGGATCTTGCTAACAAGTCCTCTAGGTGATTCTGATGCAGAATGATTCTTATCATCTTCCTTTCTCAAAGTATCAAATGGCCAGGATTATAGGCATACACTATCAAAAAAAAATTTTTTTTTTTTTTTTTTTTTCCTGGCACCAAGGTTTGAACCTGGGTCCACTTAAGTAGTGAGGCAAATGCCCAACTCTTTTATTTTTCATTTTGAAACAGGGTCTCACTAATTTGCTTAGGGACTTGCTAAGTTGCTGAGGCTGGCCTTGAACTTGCTGTCCTTCTGCCTCAGCCTTCTGAGTTGCTGGAATACAGACATGCATACCATCTACACTTTTATTAAGTACTATATGTGATTCTGGAGCAGGTTATACCTCCGACACTTTGAGGAACTTGAGTAAGTAGCATTTGGTTCTGCTCTTAAGAAGAAGTTATGTGATGTTTGGGAAAGGCATTAGGCATCTTGTCAGGGTTTTAAGTAGTATAAAGAGGCAGAGTTTCTACCTATAAAATTCTATGATTCTGTTATTTTTTAAATTCTGTTATCTTATTTTAACTTTTTATATCTGTTTAAGCTTAGTATTATACTTTGTGGGAAGGAGTGGAAGAATCAACATAAAAAACTATTTTATTTCTGAATTCTTCAGTTTATTGTAAAAAGCCTGAGATGGTAATGGGGAGGAAATACCTCTGGGTTTATTATGAAGAGTACTTGTTCTTCGTATTTCTGCTAATCAAACACCATGGTGAGCCACTCTGGGAAGTCTTCTGTTTGAACTCTTGGAATTTCTTACCCTAGGAATACATATACTGCACAGCAGTTCTAACCTCTGTATGACTTATCTGGGCACTTTTTAGTCCCAGCTTTCTCTGATGTCCTATTTTACTGAAATAAGTTGGAGTGTTAGGGATCCAATCTGGGCCTCACGCATGGTAGGGAAGGGCTGTAAATTGAGCTATATTCCCAATCCCTTGAATTTTTGGATGGTAATATGGTATCATATCAGCAACCAGTCATTAAAAGATGTGTCAAAGGGGGCTAACGGTCAGACCTCTCTAGCCATCTTTAACTTGTAATAATAGCAAATGATCAATCTGGTTCAGCCTCCTGAGTAGCTG